TTTAACGGAGTTTAGAATAATAGAATGTTTTCGCCAATGATGTCAAGGGTTCGAAATTATCCAGATGGAAATAACAAGATAGAAATTCATCTCATTTAGCCCAATTTAGAATATTGACATTTAATTGATCATATACTATAACATGCGAGAAAGTACTCCAAAAAAAATTCTTCCTTAATCTCATATTAGACCATATTTGACCGCATCAAACTAGATAAGATGAGACCAAATTAGATTAAATCAAATCAAACTTCAATAGTCATAAAATTTATCAACAATAGCAAATTTAAATAGGCTAGATTCACTGGATAAATCTAATTAAAAAGATTTTTATTATTTGCAATGCTTTGGTGTTTCCTTATTCACAAATCCAGAAATATGATAGAGATATATATTCAAGTAAACGCAAGACATGTTAACGTTTCATTTTCAAGGCAACGTTAAACTATCAACCCCTCATAAACACAATATATATTCAAGTGAATGCAAGACATTTTAACTCCTTCATAAACACAATATATATCCAAGCAGGTTTATAAACATGTCCTTCGAAACAAAAACAATGGGGATTTTTAAATAATTAAAATACCTACTTATTTCTTTGCCATAATAAATTAATGTAGATAATTTTTCAATTTTCATTATGGAAGGACCCATAAAGTGCAAACACAATTTTTCACACTTGGTTACAATTTTCATATAATCACCGGATACTAATCTTAAAGGTCTTAAACATATACTCCCTCCGTCCCTCAAAGTTTGTCACATTTTGACTTTTTCAGTCAAACTTGTTAAACTTTGACCGCTAATTACTCAAAATTAATTATATTTTATCCCAAAAAAATTATTTAATGTGATTCTTTGTAATATGTATTATTCAAATGTCAATTTATTATATATTTTATAGGTATATATTAATAGATAATTACAGTCAAACATCTACCTAGAAGCCGCAAAAGTCAAAGTGTGACAAACTTTGAGGGACGGAGGGAGTACATCTTTTAAAAATTTTAAATTGTTATATACCTGAAAATATCATAGAATATTACATTGCATATATGTCAACTAAATAGACTGTGTGTATTTTTAATGGAAGAGGCCATATAAAAAATGTAACCACCCACATATGCCAATTGTGTTGTACACAAATAAGCACACACAATGCGGCCGACATATATTTTGTACTAGATAAAAGTAAAATGGTAGTTAGACAATTTTTTAAATGTTAGAGATGGCTACTACTGGAGGGTGAGAGATGGACAATCGATTAATATTTGAGAGGATCCTTGACTGCCAAATAAGGAGAATCCAAAGGAGACATCGGAGGTAGGAGAGGGCTTACAACAAGTGTGGTGGCTAATTTATTTGTTATTGATCAAAGAGAGTGAATTCTTGATACTATTAAAGATATTTTTTAGGCAAGAGATGTCTCCTTAATTCAGGAAATGCCTCTTAGTTAGAGTCAAATACCAGATGGGCCGTGGGTGGAGAGCGGCCATTTTTCGGTTCGAAGCTGCTATCGGAGCTTGGTGGGCGAGATGGGCGGTCCGGAGGGTTTGGAATGGATTGCCATGTGGGCGAAGAACCTTCCGCCTAAAATTAAATTGTTTTTTTGCAGGTATGCAGCGGGCGATTACCATCGAGAGACAATTTGCAGTCTCGTCAGGTGGACTGCCATGGGTTATGCAGTTGTGTGGAGATCCTCAGGCACCTTTGGTACACATTTTTCTACAGTGTTTAGTTGCTCGTGAGGCCTGAATGGTGTTGGCATGGAATTGGTCTGGCTGGAAGGATCTTCCGTTTCTGGAACAAATTAATACGAAGCAGCTTTATTGCGGAGGTCGCTCGTCCTTGGCTGAATAGATTATCGCCGTTGTGTGCAGAATTGGTTTGGAATCGTGAGGCTCTTAGTTGGCTTAAAGGAAATGGATGGACTGATGTTGAGGTAGAGGTTGATGCATACCGAGGTATCTCGTATATTTTACATTGTTCTAGTTGTTCTTCGATTGGTTTGCTGGGTGACGACATTAGTGATTTGGCGAGATATTTGACGAGGATTTCATTTTGTCATATTAAGCGTTCAACGAACAAGACAACTCATGCTTTAGCCAATAAAGCTGCCTGTTCTTTGCCTGATACACGGTATTGGTTTTATTCTCCCCCTTCTTTTATTGTATCGGTTCTGAATGATGGTCTGATTAATGATAATTAAGTTTACTTCTTGCAAAAAAAACGTTTGCATAAATGAAATGATTAAATCGGTAGACAAACCACCAAAATCAGTGAAATAGTTGCCAGAGAACATCTACCATATTTTATTAGCAAATAACCAAGATACAGATTAGAGAGGAGGATTAAAGTCGAAACCTCTGCACAAGAGTCATACCTCTTCAAGAACACGATAATACCATGTAGGAAGCAAACAAATGCAGAAAGATATACCAAGCAAAATGAAAGGACATTCAAAATAAATACATAACACATTAAAGCTCAGAACAAAACATGAGGTCTTCGTCCGGTCAAGGTTGATAGCTCCACGAACAGATGCTCGCAAAGAGTTTTATTCATTATAAACCTTCAATTTAGAAGCAAAATACAACGAAGCAATGTCTTGAGCTACCTTGTTAACATCAATAGGGCAAAAAGAGAATTTAGCATTACTCTCCCTCGTTATTTGATCGATCTGTTGAATTATGTGGTTGCAATCTGCAGGAGGAGGTTTTGCCAAATTAGTGAGGAGAATATAAGACGTGTATGTGTAAATACATCTCCAATGTGAACCTGCTAACACATTCGACGTGAACCGAAGCATAATAATCTAGATGGATCTTAAAACACACATGGGTAGATGAGCAAGAGCTATGGGTGAAGCGATGGCTAATACAAATCTTCCTTCCGTGTTACACATAATAGCCCCATCATAAGAACCTACTAAAGTCGCATTAACTTTCAATCCTTACTTCAGATAAGGCCATGCGCGCAGGAAAACTTTGGAACGCCACTTTGGAATCATTCCGGAAGGCAAAAGTTTGGAGCTGAAAGATGCATACTTAGAACCTTCCAAACCGGTAACCCACTGATACACATGATTATTAATGAACCCGATTATACATTCAACAGAAGAAGGCATACAATCACCCCAATAATGCATTGCATATGCTTTTCATAGGAACCAAGTAATTACACCAAACAAGTTCGGTCTAAATAAGCTTTCCAAATCACGTTTACTCCGTCTAACCCAGTAACCCACCAGAAAATGACGATATGTTTAAGCGAGCTGAGCTTAAAGGCGAATGGTTCTGAACAAGTAGAAATCCCATATAATGATGTCAAACATTGAGTGAATAGGAGTAAGAATAAAAGCAATGATCTAAGTTCATTGAATGTCTAACGCAAACCGGGTAAATTGATGGAAGGAGAACTTTTAACGGATTATTTAGAAAGATTATTTATGTCAATATTGCTATGTAAAAAGGAAATAAGGTTTTACTTTAAAGTAAATGAAAGAGGAAAATGAACTTTTTTGGAGTAGATAATAGTAAAATATTAGCTGAGCATGTTTGTGTATGTAGTTAAAGAATCAAATCTCATTGCACATCCGCATCAAGTTAATGAAATGAAATGCTTAATCGACAAAATAGTAAACGTAATAATCACGTAATGAGACCGCACATGATTTTGAAATGTGGGGTCTTGTTTATTCATTCCTGGCGTGATTTGCTTGAAAGAAAAAAGAAATTCATGTATTTCAAATTTTTTAATTGAAGCATGAAATAACATGGATCACGAAATATGAATCTAAAAATATAACAAGGAGGCTATATTAAATTATATGAAAGAGGAAATAATAAATTTTATTTTGGAACAAACTCTACTCTTTAAGTTCCATAAAATTTAGCAAAAATCAACTCAATATCGAAAATGTAATAAATTAAAAATTGTATAATTTCGAAGTTTTAGAGTAATAGTTTTTTTTTGGAACAAGGCGGCTTAAATTGATAATAAAACATTCAACAAGAGACAAAAGAGATAAATGAAACACTTCCAACCATCAACCTTCGAACCAGGCTGAGAATCAATCACCCTAAACAGAGCAATATAATTCGCTGATCCTGTAGTGGGTCTAAATGAGCCTAACGTGGCCAGAGAAAACCCCCCTCATCCCCACCTAATATAAGAGTCTGGCAAAAATAAATGTACATCACAAACAAAACAACATGTATTTCGAAATAAAAACACAAACAAACTAAAACGGAAATAGAAATAGACTTCCAAACCCTAGTCGCACAATTCCTCCATGGCGGCGGTTCAGGAAGGGGACGAATCAACATCTCTTCATCTTCTTTCGCCCATAGGAGATCACTGCTACCCGCCCTGAATTCTTCCAATCCAAGATCTTCCCCCCTAGGTGGTGGTTCGGGAGGAGGACGAACTGTTGATCTGTCTTCCCCCTCGATGAGCTCTTCACAATTTTCCGGCCGCTCCTTGCCCTCCTTTTCCTTCTCAAGAACCAAGCCTTTCCAGGATTGCATGAAATCTGCCATGGACACCGTTGTCTCCTTGGACTCGCCCCCTGTCAGCATCGCTGGATGCTGAAGTAGTAGGATGCGCTGGCCGAGGAAAAACCCAGGGGAAGAGAATCGTCGACGAAATAGAAACTCCCATTCCCAGGGCTCCGAAGACGGACCAGGCCCTCACCGCAATAGAAAATTTTTGCTTAAATTCGAAGAGTACAGACAACTTGATGCAATACGCAGAGCGAACCGTCGGACAGGGGTAGCGCCGCCGGAAAGAACCGCTAGGGATGAACCCTAGAATGCTTTTTGTAGCTTCCGACCTTAACTAGCATAACACTTGTGTGATGCATGGTAAGCTTTTTTTAGAGTAATAATTTTAAAAAATTCATTTTTCATTATGGTGTATTCCAAAGAGGCAAAGAGAAATGATACTCCGTAATACTGTATGGTGTAATACCCCGTATTTTAGCTAAGTGAGTAGAGAGAAGACTGATTACTCTATTCCGTTGCTGGTTGAAGAATCATATTCCGCCGACGCGCATTTCTAGCGAGTTGATGAAACGCACTCCTGGTCTAAGCCACGAAACAGCGAACGCATAATCACGCAATGCAGAGCGCGAGTGGATTGGAAATGTGGGGTCAGAGTTCTTCCTTCTGGGTAGCGTAGCAGCCAACGTCATTTCTTTGGCTTTCTTCCTCACAACCGCTCTCCAGACATTGGACCCATCCCCTCCGTCGCGGAACTCCCCTCTCTCTCTCTAGACGATATGCTTAGATATATATAACAAGTATATATGTATCCTTCTCTTTGTTTTTGCGATTTAGCCGGAGAAGAGGGGGTTGTTCGCATATATCGAAGCCCCAACTCATCTCTCTCCGTATCTTGATCCGGGTAGAAAATTAAACCCTAGCGTTGAAATCGTTAAAGATAATACTTTCTGAGAAATATGAAGGAAAGTGTTTGTATTTCATCTTGTGCGCTCGTTGTGCAATGGAGTTGAGTTTTCGTCCGGATTCCGGGGGAGTTTTTGTAGAATCTAGATCACCCCGCGGATGCGTAAGTTTGAAGTAGAATTTCTTTGAATGTCATCGCCAATGACATTTGATTGAGTGGAGCTAGGATTGATTATTGATATTTCGCCATTTCCTTTGGATTGAGCTTGCATGAGTGAATTAGGTTTGTTTGAAATCTGCCACCTTTTCATTGCTTTTGCTACATATGATACTCGTATTTGTTGTTAATGGCGGTGGTGGTATTAAACAGTGATGATGGGTACCTCGAAATGACTTTACATGATTGCATTTAGCTCGATTCAGTAAAAAGTGTTGTTTATTTGCATCTCCAGGGATTGATTTGGGATGTCTTGCGACGACTATAATGCTTTGGTTTGTGGCCGTTAGATAGATCTTTGGTTGTGGCAGGCAGTTGTCAGTTTAGTGTAGGCTTGCATTCTCCCCATTCTTCAGAATGAGCCTAGATAGTGAAGATCGGCAGCTGCCAGAATGCTCTGCCAGTATACATAGCGAGAAGTAATAATTTGTTCTTTCATATTATTTGTTTCTTCTCCTGTATATAATCAAGTTCTAGTGTCTTCAGTATTCATATGTTTCTATTATGGCTTAGGCATTCAAAGATATCTTACACAAGAGAGTTCATTTTGTCCTTGAGTGAGTTGGAGATATGCCAAAAGCTACCAAGTGGGATTGATCACTCGATTCTGAGGTATGGTGCCAGTTACCGTTCATACAAAGCGTCCATTGAATCATCTGACATAATATTAAAATGTACTTCATAAAGAAATAAAGAGTATCTTATATTGGGTCATGACTTCATGTTCTTATGTTTCAGTGAGTTGGAGAGTACTTCACTTGCCACAACACCCGATCGCCAAAGAGTTCTTGGCGGTCCTCCTTCACAAGGTTTCAGACGCAATGATTATGGTTCATCCCCACCTCCCAGAGGGATTTATGGGAGATGGGATAACCGTTTTTTCCGCTCGGAGTGATCAAGAAAGTGATGCCCACTCTGTTCGGGAATCAGGTTCAACTACTGCTGTATTTTGCACAATCCTATACACACTCCAGTTTCATCATTTTCTTTTAGTCTACATAGCTATTTACTTACACTTGCACCAGATGACATATACTAACAAACTCAGTGTGATTAAATTGATTAAACCAATACCTTTTTCAAATATTTATGGAGAGAAATCTATAACTTTTAAGAGGTGAACCATGCCAAAATTTAGAAGTTGTACGTTGACCATATATGACTCTTTTTCTTTAGGGCGGAAGGAGTATAATTTGCACATGTTGCAATGTTTAGGCTTTAGACTTGAGAGAGCATGCCCTCATATATATAATATCAACTGTCTGATCCTATATCCAACGGTTTATTCTCATCTTGCACGTCAACCCTATTATTTTGAACATCAGCAATGAGGATCCTATATCATCTAAGTTGATCTACCTTCATAACTGGCGTGTTCATTTCTGTTTGTTATTTTGTACAGTGTAGGATGATTTTGTTCCTGAATGTGTGTGCCTCTTTCTTGTGCTCACTGCTCATGTATGTTTTGATTCCATAAATAGACACAAGTATGCTAATAATCTCAAGTTACCTCATGTAGAATCTATTAGGCGTCCAACCAATCAACCTCGGCGGCCTGGGCAGAGTTCTGAGCATGATGGGCTTCTTGGAAGCGGTTCATTCCCCAGACCATCTGTCTACACACCTTCTGGAGTGCCTCCTCCAAAACCACGGGGCAGTGATCAATATCAACATAATAAGAGCAATGAGCCATATCAACCTCCCCGCCCCTACAAGGTTTACAATTAGCTTATTGACCTCTTCTTTATTATGTTCAGTTTGTTAGTGAGCATTCGACACATAAAATCAGTTTTCAACATTTAATTCTTGAAACCTATCAAAGTTGTATGTAAACAGAGCAAAATTGTATTAGACTTTGCTAAACTCTTTTTTCTTTCCTGCAACTTTTTCAGGCAGGACCTCAATCTCGCCGAGATGCCACTGATTCATTCAACAACGAGACGTTTGGTTCAGATGATAGTGCAAGTCATGATAAAGTGGAAGAGGAAAGGAGGAGGAGAGGTATTGTTTTGCTTATGCTGAATCTTCCATAATAAAACAAAACTATTGTTTTACTAGTTCTCAGGAAATCATTTTCTAACCAAACTTCTTACCAGCATCTTTTGAGTTAATGAGGAAGGAGCAACATAAGACTGCTCTTCCAAAGAAGCAGCTATTGGATCTGGACAAAACTGAAACTGATTGCTTATCGGACCCTGTCATGCCTTCACTGGCAGAAGATGTTAATGCTGAAAGAAAGATTTATGGAAGAAAGGAATTGGACGCATCTACCAATTTACCTGAAACCGATAACGATTCTGGGAAATCATCTCTTCTTTCTCAAGGTTCAGCATCAAGACCGCTTATACCCCCTGGTTTTAGAAGCGCTCTCTTGGAGAAGGACTCTGGACATAAAGCTTTGATTCACCCTTCTTTGAAACAGGTTAGCTCTCCAGCATTGTTTTGTATTGGTATCTTGCTAGGGCAATTTTTTCTTGATGCATTCCTTTTATCTTTTGTTGTTTATATAGGCTGGGAAACCTGAAACTGCGGAAAGCTTAGTACATTCTCCCACGGGCCCTATCCAAAATGTCATTTTTGATAGCTTGGACAAACAGTCATCACTGTCATCAAAAGAACTTTGCCCAATCAACAAACAGCTTGATGATAAGAGCATGATTGTACCTCCTCTGAAGAAGGGCAATCAGATAGATGTTTCTAATAAAAGGGATTGGATGGATGAGAACATACATCACCCTTCAGGTATTTTTGATGCCCAAAAACTCATGGAAAATCCAGAAATCATCGAGCTTGGTGCTGTATTTCCAGGGCAGAAGTTTGAAGGGAAGTCTAAATTGAACCAATCATCATCTATACTGGATAAAATATTTGGTGGTTCTGTATTAATGGATGATGAATCTGAGGTATTGCTTGATCAAATTTTAAGCCTACCTTTTTTATTCCCTAGGTCTGTGGCTTTGGCCATTTTAAATTTAGAGTGCACTCTGATAATGTTACCCACCTGTGTACTGTAGCAATGTGGGACTCAAGTTTCTAAATAATTTGACTTGTTTTTTAATATCTTGCTCAACTCTATTTGCTCCTTCAAGATGCTGTGATGGTTTCACTTCAGCATTAGGGTCTGTTTGGAACACTGGATGCCAGGGAAAGAAAATTGGGATGAAAACAGAGAACATCTGGAGGAAAATAAATATTTGCTCATATACAAACAAAACTGGCATTTTTTCAAACCCAATTCATTCATTTGTTTGCTTCCTTGGCATTTTTCTTTCCCTGGGATTTTCCAGTATTCAAACATACTGCCCTATTTGATGGCGAACCTTATATACATATCACATCTTATCTGCCGTGATGGTTTCTTCTCTACACAGAACCAAAAGACAAATCCTGATGATAAATGGAACTCCAGAAACATTCAGTCTTCCAAGTTTGCTCATTGGTTCTCTGAAGAAGGTATGTTCTATGTTTCCATTACTTGTGCTGTTTTTTTAAAGATTTAAAGTCATTTTTAAGCTGTCATACTCCACATTGGTGCAGATAATAAGCAAAAAGACAATGCATCAACTAATATACCAAAGGATGTACTTCCATTAGTTGATGGCGGCGATGTTAGCAGACCACAAGTTTGTGATGATGTGAACTCTATTGATACCATTCTGTCTAATGCACTATCTGCTGCATCACCTGATGTATGTGAACCCCCACAATTTGCAACTGGTAAAGACGATCCAGTCCCGACCGTCCTTACTTGTGAAGATCTTGAGCAGACTATTTTGTCAGAGTACAGTGAAAAAAGTTCGAACTTGCAATCACTGTTTCCATCCTGGAGCACAAACTCTAAGCCCAAAGAACAAAGAGAGGAGCCTGTTGATGATCATGCATCTCAGCACCTTCTTTCTTTGTTACAGAAAGGACCAGATCTTGAAAGCAACAATAAGTTCCCTAATTCTAGTACAGAAGATAATAATAAGCCTGTGGATGAAGAAAATCACACTCTTGGTAAAGCAATCACTCTTGAAACTCTTTTTGGATCTGCCTTTATGAATGAGCTGCAATCGATGCAAGCTCCGGTTTCAGTTGGGCAGAAAGATGGCTTTGAATCTCAAACTGAAGCAAACTTGGCTGATAGAGAGAGAACTAATAAAATTGACAAGACAGATAACTTGTTAGGGTTGGATGATTCTCAAACTGAACTGAACCTGAAGTACCAAAATGATTGGTCATCATACAAAAACAGTGATTCTGTTGGGTTACAAGGATTTCAGCTTCCGGAAGATGAGAGCTTAATATTTAGTAGTGATAACACAGTAAACCCTAAGGTTTCACCTTATGGGGATGATAGAACTTTGAATCAAGGTGAGTTTTTGTTACCTAGTGGCTCAAGAGGAGCATCTATTCTGCATGGTGCACGTGATCATCAGGTGGAGACCAAGATATTTCACAATCTTCCCGCTCAGCCATCTGCTTCACTGTTCCATCCTATGCAATATAGTCAAGGGAGATCATCACCAGTTCACCCATTTGAGACACTTCCTTCTCATTCAAATTCACATATGAAGTTTTTGGGTCCAGATATTACAAGTCACCAGTTTTCAGGAAATATGATGCGCCCTCTGATTCATCATGCAGGGTTTGATCTTCCTAATCAACATAGTATGCAAATGCAGGGAAATTATCCTCACATGTTGCATGATCGGATGAGGAGTGGTCCGGCTCCTCGTCCTGGCGGCAATCAGCCAGCTGCTTTTTTCCAGGAACGGAACCAGATGCTAAATTTTCCATTTGGGGTGCGTCCACCTCGCCAACCCAGCATCGATGGTTTTGGGATTCCAATGCCAGGTAAAACAGTAAATGTGTATCTCTTGCTCTCTTGTGCAATTCTACATGAGAATCTATAAGCACACTGTTACCAGAGGTGTGCTTACATTTTTTGGGACTTTAAACCATACATCAGGGAAATGAACTTCATGCAGAGTCTCATTTTACTCCGTGTTTCAATACACATGTCAAATTTACCATTCTTTACCAATTTATTTGCTATTAAATTGTAAAATAACCTCTTGGGCTTTATAGAACTCAGATTCCAAAAATATAATTTTTAATTCTGTTCTCCCAAAGATAGCTCATTGTTGAGTTAAGTGCAATCTTAATATTTTAGTCAACTCAATCAAGGTACAAGTTTTTACAAATAAATGGTCACTTTTGTACTCTCAAGATTTATTCTCATGACAGTTGACTTCTAAAACTAGATTCTACTGTTGGAACAAAAAAGTTTGTGAAGCATGATCCTTTTTTGGGACAGAAGTTTCTTTCAAGTTTCTTTCAATACGTAGTATTACTGAAGTTAATGTGAACTTTAATCTACATGAACAGACAACCCTCTAATGTTTTGACTTTTGTCAAAAGAATTTTGTATGTTTGGTTAATTCTTGCTTACTGCCTCGAGAAGTCTTAGCATGTGTTCTATCAATTTACAAATTTGAGGCTAGTGTACATACATCATGAGTAGGAAATGAAAAGTACTTGTCAAAACCTTGTCGTATTGTTTTTGCAGCTGATATTATTAATGGTGGAGGTAATCAGCCTCCTGAAGCAATTCAGAGACGTCTTGAAATGGAACTCAGGGGGAGTCCAAAGCAAATCCACCCTTTTGCTGCTACTGCAAATAGCCAAGGAATGTATGGCCATGAGCTTGACATGGGACTGCGATATAGATAGATAGAGAAAGAGAGAGGCTGCCTCCTTCCATTGAAGCTATAAGTTCAAGCCAATGCTCTATTGGTGCTATGTGCTCAATGTATAATATTTTTGAAAATCCAAGTGCCATTTAGATGTTAAAAACTAAACGTGCATGCATATCTGTAAACTGTGGGGTACCCTGTACAGAGAACGCATGTGCAAGGAAATGTGTAGTGGCAAACATTTCTTGCTTCTGGTTTGCATTCCTTCTGTTTAGACACTATTCTCTTTTCTTATAAAAACATCTTTTCATGGTTTTGTATCATCTTGATACTATTCTGTCTGTGTAGCTTCATTTTGTACAGAACATTTTTTTGTCTGTTTTTTTCACCCCAAAATTCTGTTGAGCTCATGGATATACATTCGTCTAACTTCCAACTATTCAGCATTGACTATTCTAAGTAGGGGTGGATTCGAGTAGGGCCACCTGGCCCGTGGACCGGCCCGGTTCTCGGGTCCGGGTCCGGGTCGGGCCTAAGCCCGGGGGTGGGTCCGGGCTCGGGTCTTCCATTTGGCAAACCGGCCGGCCCCGGCCCGGCCCGAGTCCACGCCTGATTCTAAGTTCTAACCAATATTGTCTTTAAAAAATAAATGAAATGGTGATGACATAGTATAACTAGGCGTGGACTCAGGCTGGTTTGGCCCCGGGCCTAGGCCTGGTCGGGCTGGCGGTTCAGGAATGGGGGGCCCGGAATCGGCCCGGGTACTCCCCGGGTCGGGCCGGACCTCGGGCCTTAGTTTTTTTTTCTTTTTCCTTTTCCTAGTTAACCCCCCCAAACCACTCCAAATGGCCCAAAATACCCAGCCCAACTCGAAAACAAAAAAAATTGGGGAAAAAAATTAAAACGAACCGGAACCGGGGCGGTTCGTGATTTAGGGGGCCCGAGCCCGGACCGGAACCCCAGCGGGTTGGGCCTACCCGGACCGATCACTGACCGGGCCACTGGGCCGGGCCGGAATAGTGCCGGTTCGGGCCGGTTCCGGGTCGAACCCGACGTGATTTGAAAATAAATAAAAAGGATGGGAGTGATCTGCTAAAGGCGTTTTAAAAACAAATTATTCTAAAATAGTGTATACAATGTTTTCCACCCCTAAGTATAACCAAAGTTCATTGGTTTTCCTAGAATCGGACCCGACGTGATTTGAAAATAAATAAAAAGGATGGGAGTGATCTGCTAAAGGCGTTTTAAAAACAAATTATTCTAAAATAGTGTATACAATGTTTTTTCGAAATCATTTCCACATAACGTAGAGGTGGAGTTTGGAAATTGTATCATTTTGATTCGCTCATTTTGTTTTAACATAAAAAATATAATTTCATACTCCCTCTGTTTCATTTTATCTGTTCTACTTTAGTTTGACACAATTATTCATAAAACGATTGATAATAGTAAAAGTTGTGGTTGAGGTTGAGTATAATAAAGTGAAAAGAAATTGTCCTAAATAGGACCAAAACATAGATAAAAAGCCAAAATAGGAGTTATCATGTTTTATTCACATTATAGGACTCATACGCTCCTCTCCCGACTTTTTACAGTTTTTGCAATGTCCGAAAAGCCCTTGTTTTCCTCGTCGCTCAATCCGCCGCCGCCTCCCCCCTCCCCCCTCCCCCCCCTCCCCCTTCTCCTCCTCCTCCTCCTCCTCCTCCTCTTTTATTTTTTTAAAAATGTTATGTTTGTTATCAAATTGTCATGAACATGACATTTACAAATGTATATAAGACATGGCAGTCGCTCCCTCTTTCACTTTATTAAAAATGTCATTATTACTTTGTGAAAATGTCAAGTTTTGCTTCAAATGTTCAATAAAGATGTAAAGTAAAACTGTCATGAAGATGACATTTACACATGTATAAAACATGGAAGTCTCTCCTTTCACTTTATTAAAAATGTCATGTTTATTATGAAAATGTAACAAGAATGTCATTATTTACTCTGAAAATGTCAAGTAAAACTGTCATCTTGATAATGTAATGACATAACAGTGACATTACGTTCAAATTAGTGTGTAATAAAACAACTGTGATGACATTCTCAGATTCAAATGATGAGAAAAATAATTTAGCCATCCAAAAGGAGAAAAACAGAAAAAACATGGAAGAAGAAAACATAGGAGTTTGAGAAGAAGTAAACAAAGGAGGAGGTGGAGGAAGAGGAGCTTACTTGGGCATGTAGCAGAGCTATCATCGTCGGCTACATTCTTCGCAGCCATCATTGTTGCACAAATTAATCGCAACTGTGAAGAAAGTGAGGCAGCACGTAAACCAGGGGCAATTTTGCGATTCAATCCTATTTTTAGTCCTATCGCGTTAAACGGAAAACTAATGGTCCTACTTTTGCATTTTTGATATGTTTTAGTCCTATTTAGGTAAATCTCTCTAAAATGAAATGTTGTGGACTATGTTCTTTCCAAAAGACATGACTCTTATTTTGGGACAATTCGAAAAGAAAAAAAAGTAAGACGGATAAAATGCAAACGATGAAGTACAAGTTATCGCTGGATGTTCGCGAAAATCAATTTGATCATCGTGGTAGAGATTGTAGTGGGGGGTGGCGGCAGTGTTTAGAGAATGGTGATTGAGGCGGTACCGAGTTTAGTATATGTGGGTGTTGAAATGATAACGCTAAACTGCTAAAGTGTAGGTAGTGGTGGAAACAGGAAGGAGTTGGACTCTTGCCTCCAAGATACAAATGTAATGTACATATGTGTGTATGTTGTCTTGTTCGCCTCAGTCTAACGGGAGGCTACGCAACTGATAAGAATCAAAATTAAAGTCTATCTATGAGCCCTACTATGCTACGTCGTTTCTATTTTTTTACACTTAACAAAACGCTGTCGTATGAGTCAACTGAAAAACAAAACAAAAACAGATCCTAAGAAGTCATCTGGTTTAACAGAGCACAGGTCGGCGGAAATCAGAAGGCGCAAGGAAGAAGACAACCGGGGCGCTACGGATATTATATACATATATATCCTAACATCTCCGGCGAAGGGGTGGCGCCGGCGCCGGCTCGACCACCCCTGGCTCCGCCACTGGTTGTAGGAACGCCTGGGCACTTCACGGCGGCAGGAATTGTTAGAGACCATCTGGGAACTTTTATTTCAGCCAAGATTTATCGCATGCAGTTCAAGAGCAGGACGGAGGCAGATTTTGCTGCCCTTTATGAGGTCCTTAAATGGAGGGATGATCTGTTAGATTTTGAATTTCATGCTAATCGCGTTCATCACCTTCTATCTTCTTCGGTGTCAGTAGATTGTTCTTTAGCTGCTGCTGTGAGAGATTGCAAGGAAGCAACTCTATTTTCTTGATCTCTAGAACATGCAATATGGCTGCATGCCTGTTGGCTTTGCATTCTCACAGGAATCCTGATTCCTCTAAATTTGATTCTTTAGATGAGTTGTCTCTGGAGTCCGCGGTGCTTTGATTCTTAGACTTGAAAAAATGGGTACCCTACTTGGGGCCGACCCGGTCCCAGAATATAGCCGGTCCGGTTCTGGACCTCCATTTCCCCGACCCAAGCCCCCCTAAGCCCCACCCAGACCTGGGACCGGTCCATCCCTAATAGTACTATGTACGAAGTATAATCTTAATATTTATTATGAATATAAAAACCATTATAATAAAAAAAAATTAATAATATATTTTCCGGTCACACTTTCAGCTCTTTTTACCAAACGGTTATACTCTATTCAGTTAGTAGTTCAAATTCAACACTTCGTAGACAATAGTCTCTAGTTCAGACAATAGCTCCTAATTCAGACATTGGCTTCCAGTTTCAGCTCGTTGTGCCAAACATAGCCAAAGACCAAACATTTACCAGATCATACCAGAAAATTTCAATCCAAATAAAAACATTCTTAGTTTTTATTTTCAAAGTGAAACAAGAAAAGTTTTTTTGATTTATAACAATGTATGTTTGATCTGGTAAAAGCACAAAGCTGCACTGGTCAAGTGGAGCAAAGAAAAAAAACACATACACTTAAAATGTTGAAATATTAAATATTAAAATTGGGACCGGGCCTGACCAGAATCAGCCAGTTGAGCCTGGAATGGGAATTATGGGAGTGTGAGTCCTAGTCCCAGGTTCTTATACTCCGTATTTAAATGTCAGGAGCATAAACAGCCCACGCTATATGCATCCCAAAATATTACGGAGTACAAATTATTTCAGTTTACATCCCACCACTTCACAAATTAAGTTTTTAACGGTAGTAGGGAATGGGGATGCACATACTATTTTTTTTTTAAAAATGAAGTGCAAAATACCGTATTAGAAACGTTCAAGGATATTGTACATAACTATAGTCTATAGAAACGTTCCATTGAGTAATATACCAACCACAGCACCCTGTACAAATTGGTTTAAATAACTTTTATCCAAACTCTAGGACCAAAAACTCTGTTTCCACATATACGGAGTATTTATGTACAGAAAAGCATCGAATCTAAGGACACACCCAAAACCTCCAAAATGCTTGGTCGCCCCCACATGTATATTGTCTGGATGCATATTGACCAACCTACCAAGCACTAAAAAACGGGAAAGAAGATGATGGGAAGAACCCAAACCTATTTCCCTATCACACTAGAGAGCCGAGGATAGCTGCAGGCTGCAGCTGCAATTACTTTAATGCTTTTCTTGCACTATCGTCCTTCTCTGCACCAAAATTAAAATAGATATTTGCAGAACATGAGATTTTACACAGGAACTTCATAATTGTACATATTTTATTATACTATGCCTCGCGAGATTCCCGAAAATAATGGAGATAGTACACTGATAGATAAAAGATGGGAAAGCAAAGGATTGGTAAAGTTTAGGGAAGTAAAGTGACCAAAAAAGAATGTGTGACATACACAAAATGGGCTATAGGGAGTACATTATAATTTTTTTGTACATGTTATAGACTAGGAAAGGCATTGGGGGAGGGCCACGGCCCCCTCCAGCCTGCTCCACTGGGTATGAGGAGCAATTTATTAATGGAAGGGTTACACTTATGCTTTCCCAAAGCACTGAAATGGGTAACAAATTTTGAACTTACAACATCTTCAAACTCTGGGCTTACTAAATTGATAGAAAGATTCTTCATCAACATCACTGCCTATAAAGCACAAAGAGTAAGACATTAAAAGTTAGGCCACTTGCAGAGATGAAAAATAAGCACAAAATAATGGGCGGACCTACCAATGATCTCTACAAATTCATAACTACTACGTAGTATAATGTTAAAAAATAATGTAATATCTCCATTTAACAACATTGTTTCACAGTTTTCATTTTCAAGTTAATTTCCATGCATTATCACAACAGTTTCTACATCAGAGGTATTAGAGGCATACCGTCTCAATATTTATGGAGTCCATCTGTTTTAATCTCT